GTGGCATGGCCATGCCCCCCTGGGGGGTGATTTCTCGCTTTCTGTCTCTCTGTCTCTCTCTGTCTGTCTGGCGAGCGCATGCACCCTATAGCAAAAACCTCTCCAAAAAAAAAAAAAAAGTCAACCTCAAAAGTAGTCAAAAAAGAATTACTTTTTCCACTTGCCAAGTAAACAAATATTTTTAAAGCAATAATGTTTAAAGGTTATAGAGGAGATAGAATCATCACAGTATAGTTGATAAATCAAAAAGTTAAAAGCAAATATAAAAAATAAAAAGAGATAGACCAGAATATAACAATAAGATGATAGATTTAAACTCAAATATATCAATAGCTACTAAAGTACTCCAAGGATTGTCAGACTGGTTTTTTTTAAAGCTATGTTTAAGGCTCTTAAAACTGATAGACTCAAATAGGAAAACATAAAAAGGTAGACAGTAAAAAGTTAGGAAAAGATACGGGAACACCTCGTGAAAGAAGACTGGTCTAACTATACTAACTAGACACAGTAAACTTTAAGGCAGAGTATGACTAGAGCTGGAGGTGAATGGCTTGGTTCCATGGGAAGATAAAACTTTCTAAAATTTATATGTAATAACATAACATCAAAACATATTAAGTTAAAACTAACAAGACTAAGAAGAGAGAAATAGGGGCCAGCATGTGATATAATGGTTAAGGCACTGGACTCCCACATAGTTGACCATGGTTTGAGTCCAGGACCCGGAGACTTAAAAATCAGTCAGGCACATGTGCATGTGTGCCCCAAATCCCAAAGGAGTGGAGAAGAAGGGATTCAGTGTGGCTGTCCGCCTAGGGTGTGATTTCTGACTTTCCCTTCACTATCTCTCTCTGACTCTGTCCAGCGAGCACATGCATCCTGTGGTGCATTAAAAAAAAAAAAAAAAAAAGAGAGGAACTGATAAACCCACGATTATTGTGGATATCTGAACACAACATGTTCTGTGTATTAGTGTCCTGGGTTGAAACTCACGATGTGCCAGATAGCTTAAACCACAGAAATGTCTTGTCTCACAGCTCCGAGGCTAGACGCCTGAGATCAGGGTGTGGGCAGGGCTGGTTCCTCTGACGATCATGAGGGAGAACCTGCTCCAGCCCTCCCTCCTGACTGTCCTGATTGGCTGGTGCCTTTGATAGGCCTTGGCTCTTTGAGCTGCATTGCCCAGTCTTGCCTTCATCTTCACATGGCATTCTCCCTGAGGGCATCTCCATCCACATTTTCCCCTTTCGTAAGCACAGTGATCAGATTAGGTTAGAGGCCCGCTCTACTCCAGTATGGTCTCCTCTTAACTAACTACATCCACAATCTCTGTATTTCCAAATAAGGTCACATCCCAGAGTTCTGGAGGTTAGGACTTCCAACATATGAACTGGAACCCAAGTCAAACCCTAACACTTAATAACTAGTGGAACTAGCGGGCAAAAATTACTGATGGTTAAAAAATAAAGGATTACTGGCACAGACTCAGTGGTGTGTCTACTAAGACACCACTGCTTTGCAGGCTGAGGCCATATGGGAAGCCTGGGTTCAATTCCCAACCTAAAGGCTGGGCAAAGTGGTGAGGTATGTAATCCTGGCAATTCAGGAAGGCCAAAGCGGGCACATGAGGAGCTCAAGGCTGGCCTGGACAACATAGCAGGACTCTATCTGAAAAAGAGCCGGGCAGGTAGGCATGTAATCCCAGCCAGGAGGGTAAGGGGCAGGAGGATTGGTGCAGTAAAGCTCTATCTACAAAATAGTAATGGAGGCCAGACAGTGGTACAGCCACAAATGCAGCACTCCACAAGGCTGACCCTCATGGTCCAGGTTGCTGAATGTGCAGGGCACTGACGCTTGCCCCTGATCCTCGGCTTGTTGAAGCTGGGGCTGGGAGGCAGTCAAGACCCTGTTGGGGATGCTGTCTCTCTCTTTCTCATTCTCTTTCTCTTACTCATTGAAAAAATTAGTTAATTATTACTATTGTTGTTATTTAGATTTTTGCCATAGGGCACGTGTACTCACCATAGAGAAAGAGAGAGAGGGAAAGTAAGAAATGACCCACCAGGGGAGAAGGCCATGCCACAGTCCCTTCTCTTCCACTCACCTCTTGGAATTCTGGGTATACACACACACACACACACACACACACACAGTGTGATTTTCAAGTCACCGTGTCTGGGGCTCGAACTGCAGGGAGCCCAGTGCCTTAACCACCACACTACCTGCTGACACCAGAAATTAATTAATTTTAAAAACAAGAAATAAAGCTGTTAGATCTCTGCCAAATATACTACAGATATTTTTTTGCCAGTGTGATATTTATCTTTCAAACTTTCTATATTTTATCTTTCAAAAATTGTATATTTTCATGTGTCCAGGAGAGAATAGAAATTGTACATAAAGCAAGGTTAGGTGTGAGTTTATGATCGTCAAAGCTGGTAATAGGGGCATGGGAGGTCATTGTCCTTTGTTTTCTGCCTTTGTTGAGTTTTTCTATAATAAATATTTTCAAACATACCGTTTATTAATATTCGAGTTTAAATTTGTTACCTAAAATAACTGTTATTAGGAGTTTTGAATAAATGAAATGGTGTTACTGTATACATTTACATAGCACTGTTTTTACTCATTGCAAAACGCTGCACCACAAAACCCTCTTGGCATTGACATCGCATTTCCGTATGTCCGTTTGAAGTGCTCGAAGCACTTAACATGGATAACATGATGGCGGCCGTCTCCTGCTGGAGGGAAAGCCCAGGGCACTCTGCGGTATCAACCGAGCGAGGAAGTGCTGAGGAAATTCCCATCTTGATCATCGAGGGTTTCCTTCTTTTTAATTATAAGTAAGTACTTATGCTCTTAAGTTCGACTCTGACCGAATGGTAGAAAAGCCTTGTGAATTAAAAATGCTATAATTTTAGGCCCCTTGATACTATATGGAACAGAAGCTATTTTTTGACCATTCCGTATGAAGAATGTAAGAGGAGGAGAAGGTAAGTTTTGAAATCATTTTCATGTACTGTAATTTAAAATAAAAAATTTAAAGAAAATGAAGAAAACAGCATTATTGAGTAAGGAGTATAAGTCATTTTTCATACAAGAGAAGCCTTAACTCTTTTCCACAAGGAGCAAAACCGTTTTCCATGAATGATCATGCACATGAAATAATGCAAGTTACTTTTCTAAGAAAAGGACTATACGTTGAGCCTTTTGGCTAATAACTTTCAAATGTAGCTATCCCATGTCAATTATGATTTTAGGTTAGTGTACGTGCATTCCCCTGTAGTTATAAAGGACACCAATTAGCTTAAAGTTTAATTGCACATATCAGTTTCTGTGCCTTTATTTATGGTTGATATTTGGTTTTTAATTCTTTTATCAAGTCTTAGAGGCAGAGAAGATAATTACAAACAGTAGTGAATTGCAAAGTTAATTTTCGAATCAAGAACTAAATCCATTTTCTTGTTTTCTTAACTGCCATTGAGTTGAAATCAAGTAGTCTGAATCCTGTTTAGATTTCATCTGAGTCATTTCCCCAGTATGCTGACCACTGTTATTCTACTTTATCAATTGTGTTTCTGTCAACATAAAGCTTCCTGTGTGTTTTGCTAGTACAAGGGTCTACGAGCCTCCAGATCCCCCAGGGTACTTTGATGGCCACGTGTGGCCCATGTATTTAAAGCACAGACGAGAAGTGGAGGACATCACGTGGGAAATTGGTGAGTGCCTTTTCTCCTTCCATGTAAGGACTGGGAACATTCGTTTCCTGTTTATAACTGTAAAGGTACACTTTAAGTAAGAATGCCCTGGGCTCTCCCTCTTCCACCAATAGATCTCTGGTTTCTGTTAGTCTTTCTGTAGCTCTTGTCACAAACTAGTCAGCTTCTGAAAGGGCATTCATTCAACCAGTGCTGACTGGTTATCATCCATATACGAGGCACTGTCCCAGAGACAATGAAGTAAATAAAGGAGACCAGTCCTTGTTCTCATGCAGCTAATATTCTATCAGGGAAGCAGACTTTAAAAACCCTAGCCGGGGAACCAGCAGTTAGCGTAATGGCTATGTTGCTGGACTCCCACGTAGTCGACCGTGGTTCGCGTCCCAGACCCGGTGGCTTAAAACTCACGCTGGGCGCCATGTGCGTGCGTGCCCAAGATCCCGAGAGGAGAATGGAGGAGAAGGGATTGTGGCGTGACCATCCC